CTTGGGGCTTCTCAGCCTCAGCAGCCAGTAGCTGTCTGAGTGAAGAAATGCATCTAGCTCCAGTGGACCAGGAGCAGGAGGCAGAGCTGGACCCCAAGGTTGAGGGGCTTTCACTCAGCTCCTAGAGCCTGGCACTTTGAGCTTGGACTTAAAGCCTCCAAATTGTAAGAATAAACTCCTGTTTGTTAAGGCCATTCCATTTGTGGTATATTCCTGTCAGAGCAGCACTATGGACCCAGAACAGATGCCTTTGGGACAGCTGGCTGAAACATGGCTGCATGCATGGGCTCAGCTGTATCATCTGTTTTACTTCCATCTATGTTGCTTCTTCTTTAGACCATTCACATGTCATCATGATGTGAATGCCATCAACTAACTGTATGCTCACATCTTATTCTGGTCACAACCCTAGAAGGGTTCCTCCAACAACCTAAGCAAAAGTCTTAAGAGTGGATTCTGATCAGCCTTATGCATGTCATTAGCAACAGAAGATGGAAAGAATGATAAGAAAAAGACAAGTGGACAATCTCATGCATCCATGAAGAAGGTACTTTTATGTCTCCAGTTTCATGTGAAGCTGAGGCTGAGGAAGATGAAATGAGCTGACAAAAAACTTATGGCTGGTACATGACTGAGCTGGAATTTAGACTTTCAAGTTGAACTTTGAGACCCTACACTATAACCTTTGGTAATGGTGTCTTAATATTTCATCTCTCTAGTCAATTGGCCTCACTGACTTTCCTCATAAGGAAAGTTAGCAGGATGATGAATATGTATTATGTCTCCTTTTCTGTAATCTGGATGAAAATTGGAAAATCAAAACTGTCCAGCAAAGCGCACCCAAGAAGTGAGACATTCCGTGTTGGATTTGTGGTTCATTTTGCCCCACAGCATTTTCAGCAATGCATTGGGGTTGTGATTTGCTCCTGATTCTAATGTGGACATGGACATTTCTCAAGCAGTTGAGAATTCTTACTAACTCTTAATCATGACTCTTATCTTTGAATGCAAGAAAACATACTGATCTCGTCATCTTTCTTAGTTTTCCAGACTATCTTGTTTGTAACTTCCACCCATCTTTACATGGATATGAAAGTCAGTAAGCATATAGAAGATCTGCTCAACACCATGCACCATCTGATCTGGTTGATATTTATCGAACATTACACAACAGCCTAAAACCAAAGAACAAACCAAACCCACTACAATCTAGGGGATCCTGCCTCCCCCTGAGGACAGAGTAGAAAGGGTTTCCAAGGCTGTCATCTTTATGGAAGCTTACTTCCTCATCTGTCTCTTGAGAGGCCCTGCTGACTTTTGGTTAGCAGTGGAATGCTATAACTTCTATGCCACCAGAACCCTAATAACAGCATAAAACAAAGTACTCATTAATCAGCAAAACAGACCCATGCTGGGTTACAATACAAACTTTAAAATAAAATCAATAGAGAAATTGTGGTATATTCAAGCACTGGAATAAAACACAGCAACAGCAATCAAAATAAATTACTGCTCTGTGCAACAGCATAGATATCTCACATGATGTTGATCAGATGAAGTCAAACACAATATACTTCATATGGCATTCTTACAATGATATGAAGTCCAAGCATGTGCAAATCCTATTTCACAATAATAATCAGAGCACTGCTTATACCTGGGGTGAATGTCACCTAGGAAAAGTCCAAGAGGGAATCTTGGGTGCTGGAAGAATCCCCTAACTTAAACTCTGAGGGTTAAAGAAGCATATAGATAGATGTAAAACTATCGCATGGTACGCTTAACTTTTCAAGTTATGTCATGTAGTTTACACGTCATGTAGTTTATTACATGTGTGGTTATCTGAGGAAAAAAAGTAAAAGCTGTTCATAATCATTTTCAAAGGTCCTACGCATTTCACCTATTAGACCGCAGAAAGACTGGCATCTTCCTAGCTCTCACTCACCTTGGGAAACTTCTGTCTGCAGGATCCTCAGCCTTTAGAGAGATCAGACTGGGTTTGCATGGTCTGTGTCCTACTCCCAGGGAAAGAGTCCTGATACGCAAGAGACGACAAACCAGGAAATAGAAGCCAACCTGGAGACTTCAACAATTCTAAAGTGTGGAAATATTCACGAGGAGTAAAGGAATTCTTTCTTTAAATAATATCGTAAAATATATTGAAATGACCAAATACTCAATTACCAATGTTCTCTGCTTCTCAACGGTATTTTGATAATAGAAATCCGCGGTTCAGAAACGGAATGAAGAAATCCTAGACTTTTCTCTAGAGAGAAAATAATGACAGCTGGGGGTTGACGCCACACACAAGTGGAATCGCTGAACCCCTGGGTTGAGTTTTGTCTGTTTCCGCTCGGAACTCTTCCTCTGAGGCACCGAGCGTCCAGAAACCGGAAGCGGGCGTGTGCGTCTTTTGTCGTGTCCCCAGCCGTTTGTGACACTGGCCCTGCTCCGGTCTGAGACAGATTTTCTTAGTCGCCCGTCCGACTGTTCCCCTGGCGGTTCCCCCGCAGGCTCCGGTCCTGGGTCCGAGGCGCTGCCCCCGCCCTCCCGCACATTCTCGGTCTCTCCGCCTCCCAGAGCCTCGGGGCCTCCTGTCGCCGAGGCACCGCCATCGCTTCCTGCGCGATCCCGGCCCGCCGGCCGCTGCCGCTTCCTGGACGCCGAGCAGCGGGGGCGTACCTGCGTCTCTTGGGGCGGGAACAGGTAACATCGCGGGACCTCTCGTTGACCAAACGTGAGGTTCTCAGTCCCGTGCGTCCGCGCCACCAGGAATTGGTGAGAAATAGTGAGTCGGGGCCGCGTGGACGCCGGGGGTCGTTAGTCTGAGTCTAAACGCCCCTCTCTCACCGTCCAGTCCCGGTACCCGGTGTTTTCTTTCGTTTTTACAGTTCAGCCACAGCCGGCCTCCTCTGCCGTCTGTCCCTCTGACAATTGAAAATTTGCTATTTTGAAGAACCGCCCCCACGTTTCCACAGAGGCTGCACCGTTTGCCACTCCCACCGGCAGTTTCTCCACAGTCTCCCCAGCGCTTGTGTTGGCTGTTTCTAATAGTGGCCATCCCCGTGTGGAGTGTATGAGGGAAAAGAGACCCCAGTTCAAATAGAAGTTCAGTAGAGAACACTTTCATTAAACCTTGGATAGAACCAAGACGATCATCCTGAATGAGGGAAGCCATCACCGTGAGAAGGCGGAATGGAGTCCGCTGAATCATGGCCCTGTGGCTAGTTATGTATGATTTTAAATCATCAGAAAATCATGATTAGTGATAGTCTCGTCACTGTTGCATGCCACATTACAGAAACAAGGTAAAGACCATGATTGGGATTTGAAGATAGGAAAGGGTTGCAAGATTAGTTCTGGGTCTTGACTACATGGGGAGGTGGTGGTCGGGATAGGCTATGACTCAATGACCATGCAGCCTGAGTCTTAGCCACAAGGTGGCTCCCAAACAATACCAAGACCCCAGCCTTTATTTATATTAGAAAAGAACACTGCGAAAAAATTCCTAGTTCATTCTGAGAGTATAATCTACTTTGAACCATTCTCTTCCTGAAGACAAACAGCCTCCCTCTGTTTGTCCTGGAACTTGTCTTTGCATAGCCACAAATGGTAGTTTATGGTCAAAAAGAACCCAAATGGCTTCTGAGACTTAACATCAGGCCTCAAGATGGAGTTCGTGCTCCCCCTGCAGCCCACAGCCTTCCACAATCCCAACTCTAACTCACTGCTGTCAAGTCGGATCTGACTTATAGCGACCCCTTGGGTTTCCCAGGCAGTATCACTACAGAAGTAGATTGCCCAACCTTCCTTCTGAGGAGTTGCTGGTGGGTTTGAACCGCCAGCTTTCTGGTTAGCAGTCAAATGCCTTAGGCACTATGCCACCAGAGCTCCTTAAGAATCCATAAACATCATTTAAACGTGGATGGGAAATGCGGTTCCTTTTCTTTTTCTTCCTTCTTTCCAGCTACATGCTCTGAGAGTACTCCCTTTCTAGACTGAAGTTACCCTTGGAAACATAACTGGTCATGTAGTCACTTCCAGTGAAATTCAAACCTTCATTCAAAACTACTGAATTTTACAGGTTTTGACTCTGTGCATTGCCCCGCAGATAAGACTACCATGTTCACTTACATTTGCTAAGGGCCTAATTCAGGCTAGAACTGTGTTCTTCCTTTCCTTTAGCTTGAAGCTTCAGCAGTGGGAATGGAACCTGTTTCAGGGGTCATAGTTTAATTCTTCCTGGCCAGGAGGAGACAACCTACAGGTTAAGATACGTGCTCTTGGTACCAGTGGACCCAGACACCACACCCTTTCCATTGTCCACCTAGGACACTGAGAGGACTGTGTAGCTCTGAAACTTAACATGTCCAAACAGAGTTTTGAAAATCTCACCTGAACAAACCTGCTTTTCATCTGGCTTTCCCATCCAGTATGTGACATCAGCATCTGCTCATTAGATTTGGGGAAAAGAGTTGAAAGTCCTCAGAACATCCTCTGAACTTCGTTCTCCTTTTTCTCTTGTTGCAAGAAGTTATAATATCCACTCAGTAGCATGAGGGAAATTTCAACAACATAAACCAGTAAGTTGGCAATGACATATGGAATGAAATCCACATATCTTATATTGGCCAACAAAATCCTATATGTTCAGGTTTATGTACAGCTCTCTGACTTAAATTTATCACCTTCATGTTAGACTGTTGACTTCTTTTTTTATAAACTTTCAAATATGTTAAGACCTTACTTCTTTTGCTTGTTTTGTACTAGGTATTTCTTCTGATCAGCAAACCCAACTCACTGCCATCAAGTCGATTCGACTTATAGCGACCCCTCCTTGGGTTTCCGTGGTGGTATCTCTGGGGGTAGATTGCTCGGTCTTCCTTCAGAAGAGTGGCTGGTGGGTTTGAACCACCAGCCTTCTGGTTAGCAATCAAATGCCTTAGGTACTATGTCACCAGAGCCACAGGAATTCAGTAATTCCTATAATTCAGGTCTTACTTCAGATATCACTTCCTCAGATAGTACCCCTCCTGACCCCTCAGATATTCTTACTCATTTCTTTCTTTAAATACCATTACAGTTTCCAGAGTGAAGTAATTGCCATTTTGGTAATGTCCATAGGTGCTGTTTCCAGAGAGAAGCCTCCTGGGGAGCTGCATGAAGAATGCAGGCTTGTGCCTTGGAGGCTGAAACCTATTTTTCCTTCAGTGCAAATGCCCTCGGGGTGGAGCATTACCCTGAGCCTGGGAGGAAGCCAAAAACCTGTCACTCCCTCCTTACTCAGTACTGTCTCCTTCCCAGTCCTTCTCCCATTTCAGGTCTCCGGTGTGGGGCAGAGAGAACTAGTACAGTCCAGGCATCTGGGACCTGGGACAGCCATCCTCTACATCCATAAATACCGGGGAAGAATTTTAGCTCCTCGACTGGTGTGTGGACCAAGTATCATTCGTCTGCCTCCAAACTGCCCAGTGCTCTACTTCCACTACCATCCTTCCTGAAGTGGTTTCTTGGGTTAGAGAATACATTCCCTTAGCCCTCCAAAAGGTGGAGCCAGGAAATGGTGAGTTGTGGAGAAAATTGGTTCTTCTTACCAAAAGTATGGAGGGAGGATATGAATTGTTGAGGGATGAGTTGTGTGCTACAGGACTTTGGTTCCTCAGTGAAGAGAAATGATGGCAGAGGAGGCCAGGGGTTTAAGCCCTAGGAGCATCCTTAGTCCCGGCTCTCCCTTCACTGGGCCCTTCCTCTATACATTTCTATACATTTGTTGCCTTTCAAGACTTGGATGCCCGTGATCACCTTCCATATGTGACTCTCTGAGCTGGCCCCATGGGGCATTCCCATCCCCACCCTGGGCCTTGGTGCTCTGTGGCTCTGTGTTGAATGACAGAGTCTCCTGACCAGGGCCCGAGGACAGAGAAGCTCTGGCCATGGAGGCTGAGCCCTGGCCATCTAGAGCCAGCCTTGTTCCATCTCTCACCAGTTTTCTTGACTTCCTTCTGTTAAGTTTTGAAAGCGTAGCTCTCCCTCTCACACTGTGTTATGGGTTACAAAAGGAGGAGACAGTTCATAGGTGAAGGCCCTGACTGTCCTGCGCTCTCCTGATGGCACCATAGGGCAATGATTCCAGGTAGATTCTCTGTGTGGTCACTGTTCCAGTATATATGTCTCTCTTTTCCTCTCTTTCTCTCCCTCTCTCTCTCTCTTTTTTTTCCCTCCCATCCAGTGTGGAATGCATTTGCATTGAGGTTTTCAGATGTGAGAAGAACAAACCTCCAGTCTAGGTCCTTCTCCTCCCACCTCTGCCTAGAGCTGGTATTCCCTATAATTTGTGACTCTTCTCTATAGTCTTGAATTAGAATGTCAAATTATAGTGTTCTTTTTTGCTAGAGGTTACCATATGAGGTGTGTATGTTGGAGTTCTTGGATGTACAGTCTCCACTAGAAGAAACTTTCTATATCATTTTGTGTGTCTCTACTCAGAAATTTTCAATTTAATGGATATAACCTTTTCAAACACAGAGAAATTCTGATGACAAAATTACTCTAAAACTTCTTTAAATTTGGAGAAGGTTCTTAAAGACTGCTATTACATTTATCAAATCATTTTCAAGGGCTAAATATTACAGCCATTTTGGAAATATTCTCCTGTTGATTTTTTTTTTTAGTTTATGTCTTAAGAGGTTTTATCTCTTTTTTGTGACAAAAGTTTATTTTTTGTAACTTCTGAAAGTATTATAATTTTACTTTTTTGTATTTAAAACTAATCTTCCTGGAGTTCATTTTTTATATAGGGGATGTATGTGCATAGATTAATTATTCCAATTAGATTATTGGTTAATTAAAAAAAAAAAAAAAAAAGCTAGCTGCTGTAGCATCAGTTGTGCATCATGGTGACACCATGTTTTCAGAGCAGAACTGTACTAAAAAAAAAAAAAAAAAAAGCTAGCTGCTGTAGCATCAGTTGTGCATCATGGTGACACCATGTTTTCAGAGCAGAACTGTACTCTAGGGTGTTCCATAGGTAATTGGAAGTAGATCGCAGACTTTTCAGAGGTGCCTGTATAGCTGGGCTCAAACCACCAACCTTTCAGTTAGTAGCAGAGCTCTTCACTCTTAGTGTCCCTCAAGGACTCCATTTGGTTGACGGGGCCCTGCATGTTGAAGTACACGGACTTTGTCTCTCACCTTGCTCTGTATTCCTTGGCTGGGTCATGAATCACATTTGTCTGGATTGGCAGACCTTCTTCAGGGTGGTTTCATTTTTTCCATTGGTGTATCTCTGTGTGTTCGTATGCTGATACTACACTGGATAATATATTGTCTTTAATTTCAAAACAAATCCATATG